GACCGGTACCGGTCCGAGGCCCGGGGGTTGGGGACCGCTGGCTTAAGCTAATCATGTGTTTAATTGAGCTTAAGCTCAAAATATATTAAATCTGTCACCATCATGACTTTGTTTTTACAAATGAATTGACTCAATTACTGGCATTAAAATTCAGAATGATTCAGGTTTACACCAGTTTACAACTAGATTCATGATTTTGGTGAAATTTCACTGAAGCACCTCACAATGGTACGGAGTAAATTGTACGGTGCCCATGTGCTTGTTTCATGCCTAACAAAAAGAAGCGTGCTCCTGAAAAGATGAATGATAGGTGTAGAAATCCTCACATGGAAATTCGACAACCTTTGCATGTAGAACTCAGCAACCACGCACACAAAGATGCCATCATGCACGTAAGTGTGTCTACTTTGCATACACAGCTACTTGTCATGGTCTTGTGGGTGAATACCATGGAGCAGATTTAAAGAAACAGGTAGTTAATCTACAACAGCTGGACAGAGCCATAGGAAGTCCTTAATCCTTAGTAGGACTAGTGTCTCTTACTGGTATCTGCTCCTTTGTGCGATGAGGACTCAGCCCTACAAAATCTCCTCCAGCAGGCCAGTATTGTGAATATCTCTGACTGGCATTTTCCAATAAATACCAAAATCTGTCGCAGGTATTCGTTGCCACTTGCACAGAAATTCATCAACCGTTGCACACAGAATTAAGCAACCACACGTGCAAAGAAGTCATCTCACACATAACTGTGTCACGCTCTTGCAAACTGCTTTAAAGAATTTCTTCCTTCAGCCGATCTAGAGGCCACCGCAAAATAGAGCCTGTCCAGTTTCTTCCTGTGTCCAGAGGAGAAACTGCTGCTCCAACAAACCATAGAAGAAGGCTGATGCCACCATAGAGTCATAGAAGGGTTTCAGGAGCTCCCTCCAAAAACCCTGAGGGGTCTGCATAAAGCTAAGCTCTCAGCAACAAGCTCACCTGGAGCCAAAGATGAGCAAGAACCAGTCTTTCCAGGGTTTTCAGCAAGTGTGATGTCATAATCACCAACTGTTGAGGTCTGTGGGCTTCTGAAGATAAAACCAGAGCTGTTGAAAAATCACCTGTAGTGATCCCATATGCGTCAGGAGTATCGGAGCAGATGAGACGCATTTTTTCGAAACACAGAGTCTCTGTGGCTTTTAAACCC